CTCTAAAGTGGACATACAGAAAGCCAAGAGACATATGAAACAATGCTCAAAGTCACTAATCATCCAAGTTTGGAGTTCCTTTGCATGAGAGATGCAAATTAAAATGACAATGAGGTATCACTTCACACATGTCAGAATGGCTATCATCAACAAGTTAACAAACGACAAGTATTGGCGAGGATGTGGAGAAAAGGGAACCCTAGTACACTGCTGGTGGGAATGTGGACTGGTACAGCCACTGTGGAAAACAGTATGGTGTGTCCTCAAAAAATTAAAAATGAAGCTCCCAATTGACATATCCTAAGAAACCTGAAAGAATCATCAGAAAAAATATAAGCACCACTATGTTCATAACAGCGCAATTTACAATAGCTAAGATTTGGAAACAGCCTAAATGCCCATCAGCAGATGAGGGAATAAAAAAAATTATGGTACACTTACACAATGGAATACTACATGGCAATAAAAAAGAAAGAACTCTTACCATTTGCAACAGCATGAATGGACTTGGAAAATATGCTGAGCAAAATATGCCAGTCAGAGAAAGATAAATATCACATGATCTCACTCATACGTGGAGTCTAATGAACCAAATAAACTGAAGATCAAAATCTTCAGTTAGATTAGACCCAGAAACATAGAAGCATGAACAGACTGTTGATCCTCAGAGGGAAGATATGGGAGGGTGGGAAAAATCAACGGATGAACTTGTATGCATATATGCATAACCCATGGACACAGACAATGGAGTGGTGAGGGCCTGGCCTTGGGGGAGAGGGGTGCGAGAGAGCTGGAAGAGGTTAATGGGGGGTAGGAGGGAGGAGGACCCATGTAATACTTCAACAATAAAGATTTTAAAAATAATAAAATAAATACATCCTCACAGAAACCCCCAGAATAATTTTTGACCAAATACCTGGACACCTTGTAGCCCAGCCAAGAAGACATAAAATTAACCATCACGTTAATACTGGGTAATAGTTTTAGAAGCCAAGATCTGGGAGCTAGAAGTGCTCATTGCTATTGGAATGTCATTTGTTCTAGGCACCATTAGGTGATAGAAAAATATGTATACTATAGTCTAGCCCCAGTATATGCACATTTCTATAAATATTACTATATGTAACCATCTGTCTGTATTAAACTAAACATAACTTCATGCTGATGTCACCAACTCTAATTCATTACTATGTGGATTATTTTAGCCTTCTTTTTTGTTTATCTATAACCTCAAACACAAACAGTGATAAACCTTGCTCCAACCTTCTGCCTTTTACTTGCTTAATTTTTCAATCCCAGTATAGATGAATAGCAGTTTCAGAATTATTAAACCATATCCCCAGTGGGGAAAAAACCTTATCAACTAGAGCTCAGTGTTTATGTACAGCCTTTAGTCTTGCAGATTTCACTTATTTCCAAAATTACTTAGGTCAGTCAGCCTTTTTAGTCCTCACACCTTTCAATGAGGTTGCTTTACACATTTGTAATACAAAGAGATTCATTTCACATCATGCATTCCATCCTAGGATTTCTTAACCTCCTAGGTTATCCTTTTTAAAAATTTCTACCATTCAGGTTCATGATATGCTGCAAAATTCTATGTTTTTACAAATGCGTAGCATTGTGAATTCACCATTACAGTATCATACAGAAGAGAACCCTCCCTAACTCCCCTTCTCTGTGCTTCACCTATTTAACCTTGCCTTTCCATATAGACTTTAGAATCAACTTGAATCTTTAGAATCCACAAGAGAGATTGCTGGACTTTCAACTGAGATTGTGTTGAATCTGAATAGCAAATTGGGAAGAATTGGTATTTTAACGATATTAAGTCTTCCAATTCTTGAAGGAATATCTCTTCATTTGTTTATACCTGTGATTTTTCTTCATCAGTATTTTACAATTTTCCACATATAAATTATCTACATAGTTTGTTATATTTATACCTAAGCATTTAATCTTTTATTAAAAGATTATAATTTCATTTTCAGTTCTTCATTGCTGACATAATACAAAATCGATTTTTATATACAGTAGTTCTCCCTTATCCACCCATGGGTTCAGTTACCCACAGTGAACCATGGTCCTAACTATTAAATGAAAATTTCCAAAAATAAAGAATTCATAAGTTTTAAATTGCATTCTGTTCTGAGTAGGCTGATAAAACATTGTGCTGTTCCACTCTGTCCCACCTAGCATGTGAATCATTCCTTTGTTCATTGTATCTACACTGAACATACTACTGGCCCATTAGTCACTTAGCATCTATCTCAATTATTAGATCAACTGTCACAATATCACAGTGTTTGTGCTCAAGTAACACTTATTTATAATGGTCTCAAAACCCCAAACCAGTGATGCTGGCTATTCAGATATGCCAAAGAGAAGTCATAAAGTATTTCCTTTAAGTGAAGAGGCATATACTGGTATGCATAGGAATAAAATATATATATATATATATATATATATATATATATATATATATATATATATATGTGGTTTGGTACTATCTATGGTTTCAGACATCCACCGAAGGTCTTAGAATTTATCCCTGTGGATAAGGGGGGACTACTGTACTGGCTTATTAGTTCCAGGCAGTTTTTGGTAATGTTTTCTTGATTTTCTCCACAGGCTATCATAGCATTTGATAATAAAGACATATTTATTTCTTAATTTCTAACCTGTATGATATTTATTTATTTCTCTCATATTATTGTACTAGTTAGAACTTACAGTAATATACATATATATATATATATATATATATATATATATATATATATATATAATTAGTCTAATATGCAAAATGTCCCCTCAGGAATTTGACTGGGAGACTGGGAGTTCGATTGTTCCCTATGATGTGTGCTGACCACCACAAAATGAAGGAAGGCCCCAGCCAGCATCCAGAAGGCCCCTATTGTCCCTGATTGCTGGCCAGGCCTAGGGACCCTACCTGTGCCCAAATTTCATGCACTGGGCCTCTAGTGTTGAATAAAAGTGGATAGAGAACACATACCTACCTTGTTCTTAATCTCAGAAGGAAAGGAGGAAGTCCTCACTAGAAAGTGTGTGTTCTTTATTAAGATGAGAAAGTTGCCCTCTATTCCTTGTTTGCTGAGATTTAAAAAAAATCATTAACGATGTTGGATTTTGGCATATACCTTTCCTGCATTTATTAATACAATCAGATGATTTTTCTTCTTTAGCCTTTTGCTATGGCAGGATATACTGGTTGATTTGAATGTTGAACCAGCCTTGCATATCTGAAAAAAACCTCACTTGGTTGTGGGATATACTTATTTTTATGCATTGTAGGATTTAATTGATAATACATATTTTGTTGGGCATTCTCATGTCTACTGGTATGTCCATAAGAGGTATTGGGCTGTAGTTTTTCTCTCTTGAAATCTCTTTATCTAGTTTTGGTATTAAAATAATGCAGGCCTCATAGAATGAGTTAGAAAGTGTTCATTATGCTTCTCTTTCCCAGAAGAGATTGTCAAAAATTGGGACCATTTCTTTTTTACATGTTTGGTATAATTAACCAATGAAAATATCTGGGCTTGGTGCTTTATTTTATTTAAGGTTATATATTATTTATTCAATTTCTCTAATAGATATAGGACTAGTCTTATGATCTATTTCTCCTTTAAGTTTTATATCTTTCAAAAATATGGCCTATTTTATATAAATTATCAATTTGTCATGTAGTTGTTTATAGTTTTCCTTTATTATAGTTTTAATATCCATATACCATTTTAAGCCTCTTTTGTATATTTCTATATGCTACTCTGTTTTTAAGCCTCTTTTGTGTATTTCTATATGCTAGATAATTTGTCTTATTATTTTATTTCCATTACTAGAGGCCTGGTGCACAAAATTCGTGCATGGAGGGGGGGATTCCCTTCAGCCAAGCCTGCACCCTCTCCAATCCAGGACTTCTCCAGCGATGTCCGACTGCTGGTTTAAAACTGGCAGTGGGACATCCCTCTCACTCTGCTTTATTTAGCAATACAAGTGAGCAATACAACTGGCTCCTAACTGCTCACCTGCCTACCTGCCTGGCCACCCCACACAGTCTGTTGAGTTGTCATTTTGGTTGTTTCAGCTTAGGCTTTTATATATAGATTCTTTGTGGATATGCAATAAAAAGTGTGGTGAATGGGCTTACACTTTGGAAGCCAGTCATCAAATATCTGCTTTTTGGAGGAATTCTGGGCGGAAACTAAATAGGTGCCAAAATGAGAGGCTCCCTATGTTGCTGGAGGAATGGTTAGAGGTGAACACAGCAAGATTCTGACAGAGCAGGATCCAGAAATACCCTTTACAAATTAGCTAAGTCAAAAAAATTTTTGTGGTATGAGAACCTGCAGATTAGGGACCAAACAAACAAACAAACAAAAGAAACACAACGAACTGGAAACAGTGACTGCCCTCAGGAAGCAAAAGCTTACAGACCATTGTCTGAATTTTCCATGTTTATTTATAGAAGTCAAAGCAGGCCAGGCATACCTGAGAGAATGTGGGACCCTCTTTGGAGGCACAAAGACATCGACTTCCTTGAGTTTCTGTGACAGATTTACAGTATAAGTGGGTGGGAATTACCATTCTTGTTTTGCCTTTATACTTCAAGAAATCAACATCTGAGCTGTGAGTCTGAATCACAGGAACCTTAATTAGATCAGCTCTAGTGTTTACACTTTTTTCTGTTATAAAGATTATTGGGATTCACATCTAAGGTGTACAACATCCTGAATTTGCACTACTTTCTCAGGATACATCTCCAGACATGGAATACCAGTAAGGAGTGGGCAACCTACTTTACTCAGGCTTCATTTTTCTTGATTACTAGTATATCAAAGTGCTGTTTATTGAAGTTCTCTAAAGAAGGGGAGTGAAGCACATGGGGAATGGGAGTCTCTTCATTCATGAAAAGGAATTTGTCAGGTGAAACAGCTCAAAATCCATTGGTGACAAATCAAGGCAGCATAAAGCATGTATTATAATACACATCTGCTTTATTTAGCAATTCAAGTGAGCAATACCAGAGAAAACATAGCAGGGATACAGACTGTACATTCTAGAACTAGTGACTTGTGCTTTCATGACCACTGTGTGGAATATGAGAGATTCCTGGGCCAATAGAAAGCAAGAAGTTGCTCTGTTCTAAAGTCTGACCCAACCAGTAACCTTCTGATGGTAAGCAAATGAAGTTCAGATTGAACAGGTATGAGAAGAGAGGAAAAGTGAGGGAACTTAGCAACTTCATTTCTAACTCTAGGACTAAGAGAATTAAGTAGCAAGGGAAAAAAAAGCAAACTGAAGAGGAGGCCATGCAGCTGGAGAAGAGGCCTAAGACAATGTGGAACCAAGAGCCAATGGGAGGCCTTCAGTGGTTGTAGCCCTTTCTGCTGGAGGATGAGGTGGTGCTGTATTTGATGGTGGAACTGCTGCCCCCAACAGAGCTGAGGCCACCTCCAAAGCCTCTGCCACTGCCGGAACTGAAGCCACCTCCAAGGCCGTGACCACTGCCATAGGAGTAGCCGCTGCTTCCGCCCAGGCCAAAGCCACTGCCGACACCACCAGCACTGCCATAGCCACTGGAGACGGTGGACTGCACCACAGCTGTGAAGGGGAGGGGAACAAGGACACACAGATATGGTGAGTTCATTCTGCTAGCCCGAGCCAAGTCAGAAGAACTCAAGGGGACGGGAAGAAGGCAAGCAAAGATACTTACAGATGTTGACTGGTCCAACACCTTCCCCACTCAGCCTAGGAAGAAGGAAACAGAGAGACCATGAGACCATGAGACCTCAGAGAACCACCACTGGACCAGTGTGGGAAGCCTCCATGTGAGGACAACCCATGGGAAACTGCCTTTTCCATGGTTCTCTGAGAGTAGGAATTTTGGCCATCACTAGGAGCTTTATTGTTTTGGCCATCACTAGGAGCTTTACTTCTCCATGATGTGCAGATCATGGAGAAGCACCTAGATGACAGAGGAGGTTGTGAGTTGCCCACCTGCACTCCTCTCCTTCCAGCAGCTTCCTGTAGGTGGCAATCTCCACGTCCAAGGCCAGCTTGACATTCATCAGCTCCTGGTATTCCTTCAGGAGCCGGGCCATGTCCTGCTTGGCTTTCTGCAGGGCGTCTTCCAGCTCAACCAGCTTATTCTTGGCATCCTTGAGGGCCATCTCCCCACGCTGCTCAGCATCAGCAATGGCGGCCTGCAGGCTGGCGCACTAGAGGGGGAGATAAGCAGAATGAACTTGCATTAGCTTGTTTAGTCCTCCAGAGGAAACCAGCTGTGGAAGAGAGGAAGAGAGCCAGAGCCCAGATGGCATGGAAATGCAGCTCAGACCCTTTCTGTCCAATCTTTGTCCATTCTGCAAACCTTCTCTAACTTATGATTCATCTGAAAAAACCTGTGCCCCTTTGTATTAGCCACCCTGCATGAGGATGTGTGGGCTGACTGATGGAAGGTACTACAGCAGATATAGATCAGGGGACAAAGGAAGAAATGTACCCACCAACTTGTTTTGAATCTTGACAGTTTTTGATAATCTCATGTAGCAGCCACACTAACTTGTACAAAATCACAAACATTCTCATGGAGGTGATGTGATTCTACCACCTCACAATTTTAGGTGACACTGGTCTTTGTCAAGTGTCTTTGCTTGACTATCATTTTTTTTTTACCTTGAATCTTGAGCAGATTTGCATCAATCTTCCTCACTTCCTGGCCTGCCTTTTCTTTCCTAGTTTCCTTCATTCCTAAATCAACTGTTCTCATGTCATCTCTGTTTAATACTTCTAGACTATATTGTACAGCTCTGACAGGGAAAACTGGTTTTGTCTCCCTGTTTCTATCATGCTCTTGAGTTTGGATCCATCTCAACTACCTGTGAGAACTCACTCAGTGTAGACACTGCATTGTGTCCTCTTCCTATTGTTTCCCAAATTCCCTTGAATCACAAATTATGGTTAATGACCACGTGGTGGTCTAGCAAGGAAAGGATGCTTTTATTTTCCTTAGTCCCCACCATACCTGTTTCTTGACGTGGTCAATCTCAGATCTCAGCCTCTGGATCATGCGGTTGATCTCAGCAATCTCCTGCTTAGTGTTGCGCAGGTCATCCCCGTGTCTGCCAGCTGTGACCTGAAGCTCCTCATACTGTAGCAAAGAGAGAGAGAAGCTGATGTATATGGGCTTTCACATGTTAACAGCGACTGTCACACTGTGTCAGGATTTTAATAAATTAAGCCTAATGGCTTCTCCAGAAGGGATTTTTAGAAATGCTGATGTTACTAGGTCATTGGATACTCTAATCCCAGACCAACGTTGTCATGAAACCACAGCCTTTCTATTTCTCTTCAGAACCAGCAATGTCCTGCACTGATTTTCTGAGAGCCAGAATCAGTGTGAAGCTAAAGCAATGAGCACTAGGTTCTTATCTACATTAGTTTTCCTCTTGCTTGTGTTTCTTTGACTTACCAGAATTGCACATAAATAATGTAAGCATATACTCTATCAGTTCAAAGTACACATTCAGGTTCCTAGAAGTACATTTTCCCTGTGGAGGCTGGTAGCCTTATAGGTGTTGAGGTAATGAATGCAGGAATTCATCAGCTGCTTCCCAGTCACTGCTCACCTTGGTCTGGTACCAGGACTCAGCCTCAGTCCGACTCCTCTGAGCAATCTCCTCATATTGGGCCTTGACTTCAGCAATGATGCTGTCCAGGTCCAGGTTACGGTTGTTGTCCATGGAAAGGACCACAGAAGTGTCTGAGATGTGGGTCTGCATCTGAGCCAGTTCCTGCAGAACATAAGATGGTGAGATCATTTTCTCCTGTAAAGTTTACAAGCTTCCCAAGCCCAATATCTTCCACCCTTTTGCAGAGCCCCATTAGAGTAACTCAAATGAAGGTGTTGATGCTTACGGCTTCATAGAAGGCTCTGGTGAAGTTGATCTCATCCATGAGAGCATCTACCTTGGCTTGGAGTTCAACCTTATTCATGTAGGCAGCATCCACATCCTGGGGAATAAGCCAACACCCTGGAGTTAGCTGAGCCCTCCTTCCCCATCTGCCCATCTTTTAGCCTCCCCACCTCTTGTCTTCTCAGATGTGAGGAGGAATCTAGATTTTCCTCCTTCAAAAAAGAAGCCTGAACCCCTGGTTGTCATCAGCTCACCTTCTTCAGAGTCACAAACTCATTCTCTGCAGTGGTGCGCTTGTTGATTTCATCTTCATATCTAGAGTGAGAAAGGCATACGTCAGTGGTGACGTTGATACAGAAAAGGCAGCCTGGGGTCAGAAATTTCCATAATGGATATGTCAAAGTTCAGATTTCTTGACAGTAAGCCTCAAAGATTATTTTTTGGTTTCTAAATTGTTTCCTTTTTTTACTCTCCCTCTCTACCCATATAGCCCTTTTTTTTCTTTCAGGTTTGTTTTTAAGCAACAATTATGATTTTTATTTTCATGGACATGTTTTGCGATAGATCATGGCCACACGTGGACCTGGACACCCAATGGTTTTAAAGTGTGCACTTTAGACAACTGAACCCATATCTCTCCTTAACTCACTTGCTCTTGAAGTCCTCCACCATGTCCTGCATGCCCCTGAGCTCTGAGTCCAGGCGGCCTCTCTCCCCAATGATACTGTCCAGCTGTCTCCTGAGGTTGTTGATGTACTGCTCAAACATAGGCTCCAGGTTCTGCCTCACGGTCTTGGTGCCCTGCTCCTGCAGCAGGGTCCACTTGGTGTCCAGGACCTTGTTCTGCTGCTCCAGGAAGCGCACCTGGAAGAACACAGTTTGGTTATTTGCCTGATGAATGATAGAAGAAAGAAATGTGTGCTGGGCTACTACAGAGTGCCTACAGGTATATGTGACAGTCCTGCTTTTCTCCCCCCCTCCTCCACTCCCCATCAATCTCACCACTGAAAATTTCCAAAGGGCACTGAGATGCTCTCACGCCCTAATTTATGGAAACTTAACAGTGACTGCCAACATTACTTCTTTTTCTCTTGACAAGTACAATCGCTCATCTAGTTTAAAATAATATATTGCACAAAGCTTTTTAAAAAGATAATACCTCAGTTAAAAGGAATGTTAAGTTTTAGAACCTGATTACTAAATTTTAATCTTATTATGATTATATTACAATCTAAGTTTCATTTAGTACACATCTTTTCTAAAACAAGCTTCCTCGATGGTCACTACTGAGTCCTACAAATTTAGTATTTCAATGGATATGTAAGTGGGTGTTTTTTTTTTTTGTCTTTTTTTCTAAATCATGCAGAAATATATTTATTTTTATTTTCCTGTCACATTTTTTCCTCTTGTCCAGAGCCCTAGAGCAGTTTTCCATGGAATTTTATTTTTAATATCTTAGATTCTTCAGAAGGTAATGCTAACTCTTTCCATTTTCTTATTGTTTTCCCTTTGTTTCATGGGTATCAAAAGTTGAGAATTCTTCCTGGACAGGAATGAGAGACATTTAAGAAATTCAGCAGTTCTAAATGGTTTCCATCTCCTTTTGCCTGTGGTCAACATGGAACTAATCTGGCATCCCAGGAGGGCCACAGTCTGAGTCCCTTTTTTCCTCTACCCTCGTCTCCCCCTGAGAAAACATGTGTTGGTCCTCTACTTTGGAGACTCTGAGTCCCCACTGGAGGACAGGTCCTCTGGCTTACCTTGTCAATGAAGGAGGCGAACTTGTTGTTGAGGGTCTTGATCTGCTCCCGCTCCTCAGTCCTCACCCGCTGGATGGTGGGGTCGATTTGCAGGTTCAGAGGAGTGAGGAGATTCTGGTTGATTGTGACCTCTTGGATGCCTCCAGGGGGGCACACAGGGAAGCCAGCGCCCCCATAACCACCAGCAAAGCCAGCTCCACCACCGAGCCCAAAGCCACCACCATATCCACCGCCATAGCCAAATCCACTCCCGGCTCCACCTCCAAAGCCAAAGCCACCTCCAACTCTGCCACCATATCCTCCACTGATGGCACAGCTGCCACCTCCGATGGAAATCCTCTTGGAGCCCCCCAGGCTATAGAGGCTCCTGCTGCCAAAGCCAGCTCCTCCACACACTCCACCGAGGCCTCCACTGCCCCTGGAGCGGGACACAGAGACACTGCTGAAGCCAGAGCGGCAGCCCCCAGGGACTCTGGCTGAGCTGGCACTGAAGCCACGGTGGCTGCTGCTTTGGGTCCTGATGGTGGATTTGCTCGACATGGTTCCTGAAGATGAGAAGGCTGAAGGAGGCGAGAGAGGCTGGAGGGCAGAGCTGAGAGCAGCAGGTGTGTGATGCGTTGGCAGGCAGCAGTTTATATATAGTGGAAATGGGCTGGGCTCAGTCCTGGAAGGTGAGCTTGCAGATTGGGGAGGGTTGGGCTTTACAAATAGTGAGGTCACCCCCAGCACCTAGAAAGGTATGAAATGTGAACATTTTATATTTGGCTTCCTGTATTCATGGAGAAATTCTCCTGCCCTCCAGCCTTGTCTTGATCCCCACACAATAAGGCTGGATATGAATTCACTGAAGTCATGAGTTAGTCATGATCTCAAACAAAGGAGACAAGGCACTGATTTGTGTAATTGTATCTTCCTTCTGCTTACTCAGCCACTCCTCTGTGTGTCCCCTTCCCACACAGGTTTTCTGCTCTACCCAGCACCACCCTTCTCATCAGGGTGGGACTGTCTCTGAGGGTTCACAGGTATTTGCTCAATGCCCTGAGCAAGAAGTGGCCTGCAGTGTTTTTTTCCATCTCGTTTGAACCTGCCCTTCTTTTGGGAGCTGTTGCATATTGTTCCTGGTGGCCTTGTCATGGGATGGGGAATACTTTGGAGTTAAAACTTTTCTTTGCAAGGCAAGAAGGGCAAAAGGGTTGCGCCTTTACATTACAATTGCTCTCTGTCCTATTCAATAAGCTTCCCAATTGCTACTTTCCCGAGAGGGTAAGAACCTTCACCCAAGGCTACTGTGCCCAGAGACAGAGACATTTCTGCACAGAGTTTCGCTCCATGCCTGTACCTCCCTCCCAAAGTGTGCTTTTCCATTGAACTGATGAGAATGTCAACTTGTTTTTCCAACTGGAATTCATGGGACACTATTTCTCTGCTGTTTGCGAATGTTCACTTAGACTTTAACTTACAGAATCTAAAATGAGTAGGACAAAAATTAAGAAATTCACTAAATTTTGATTCCCACAGATTTTGATACTTTTTTAGGGTTGAAGGATAAGACATATTAATGGGTGTGGAGAGAACATTGAGGGGAATATAGAAGCAGTGAATCATAAAAATGTGCCCTTACATGTGTGATGCTGTCACAAGTAAATTCCAAGTGTATATTTCTAATCTCAGCTCTTGAAATCTTAAATCTCTACACATCTTCTTAGAGGAGAGAAGGCTGTCAAATGAGTGGTGTGTTTTGTTTAGAGGATGATGCTCATTTTTTTTTTCAGTCCAGACATTAAAAACTGAGTGCAATGAGCACTGAGAGCAATTATAGGCATGTTGTTCTATGAAAACATATGTTTAAATGGGAAACCAGGGGAAGAAAGACAAACTTCCACACTGGGGTGACCTGAGGACAGGACCTGGTAATATTTTATAAGCAGTCCCATCTTTCCAATGTTTTCAGGGACACAGCATCCAGGAAGACAGGGCATTTCCTACTCAAAAAAGGTGCTAACTCAGCGTCTGGGTGTAAAGAGATACCTCCTCAAGAAACGAAAGAAGCTCCCCTCCCTCCACCCTGGTTGCACAATGGTTGACCAAGAAACGTGTTGTCACCAAGTTCTGGGAAAGAAGCATTCCTTCCTGTGGCACTGAGCTTTGATACATGCTACTTTTCTTGGGCCTGAGGCTTTAGGTTTGGCACAGATGATATCAGGTGGGGTAGAAAGCGTTGGCAAGTCAGGTGGGAGCAGCATGCCTTTGCCCACTGTTTTATGTCCACATCAATGCCCATGGCTACTTTCAGGCTGTGATGGCAGGGTTGGGTGGTTGTAACAGAGAATGTATGACTCGCAAAGCCTAAAGTTCTTACTATTTGGCCCTTTCAGGAAAAAGTCTGCCTCCCAGTCGATGTGGCTCAGTGTTTGACTATTGAGCTCTAGACCAGGAGATCATAGTTTGATTCTGGTCAGGGCACATGCCCCAGGGGGTTGCAGGTTCAACCCTCAGTAGGGGGCATGCAGGAGGTAGCTGATTAATGATTCTCTCTCATCATGGATGTTTATATCTCTCCCTCTCCCTTCCTCTCTGAAATCAATAAAAATATATTCCAAAAAAGAAAAAAAAATTGCCAAACCCTGGTTAAGAGCATGGGGTGGAGACTTAGTCTTCAAACTCTTATGTGTCTGTCTGCAAGTTACTCATTTTTACAGATGTCAACTGGGGATGAGAATTGTATCTATCTCTCATTGTTGTGAGGATTACAGGAAATAATTAATGTAAAGGCCTTAGCAGTGCATGCACATAAGTTCTCTATAAAGATGAGCTAATATCATTATTATAATGGAAGTATGGAAAAGACTTGGTGTATCCAGGCACCCACCAGAAGCTTCAAGAACTAGAACACAGCTGCAGCGTGTGTGTGTGTGTGTGTGTGTGTGTGTGTGTGTGTGAGAGAGAGAGAGAGAGAGAGAGAGAGAGAGAGAGAGAGAGAGAGAGAGAGAAATATGAGGGGTGGAGTGAAAAAAAAATGAAAGCAGCATTAGTAAGCACCTAGAAGGCACACATAGGCAGATGCCTAGGCAACATCTTGCCCAAGTTGCTGCAAAGTAGCAGTAGTAGGAAGTCAGAGGGAGAATCAGAGTCATTGGCGGGAACCCAGCAGGCTGCTCCTTCCCTCCTCTGGAGTCAGGCTCCTCTGTTGGGTCCTCATCTGTCCTCTGGTGTGTGCACACAGGGGAGGCTACCATCAACCAGCACAGGTGACCAGATCAGTACTGATTGTATCTATTTTCAGGATGGGGTGGACTCATCTCTGAATGAAGTACATAATTTAATTGCAGCAGGACCCTCACATTCAACCATTTAGCATAGAGGATGGTTTAACTTCAACATATTACCCAATCCCGAGTTTGACATGCATACCAGACAGAGCCATCAATATAAAGTATCACCTCTTGGTAGATTTATAAGACATTATCTAATCTACATATTATGTAGTAAATTATATATAACGAAATACTTTTTTTTCCTTCAAATTTCCATTACCACCTGCCAGAGAATTATGCCCTGGGGTCCAATTCCAGTGAGATTGAGCATGAGTAAGGTCAGTTGAGAGGGCTCATGGGAGATGGCGAGGGCTCCTGAGACAGTAAAGGAGGAGCTGGAGAGAAGCGACCCTGTGGCAGATCCATTTCTGATTCCATTCTTTTCTGGTCCCATCACCGTTATGGTCAACTTTGTACTTGATTCATTTACTCTTGATTTTCTATATCTTTCTTGGGTCTGAGGAGATTCTCTGTGTTTCCAAATTCACTATTAGACAGGTCTCCCCCCACTAAGCTAAGTAGTACTTCTTTCCTCCTCTGGAGTCCAGCCCTCTGCTTTGGCATCCAGGAGTGAGTTGTGTTCATAGGTGGTGGGGGCTTACTGATGGCTAGAGAATTGGCTTTTTAGATAAAAACTCCCCACTGATCCTGAATCATGTTCTATAATAGAGCCCAGAGGAGTTATATCTTCCCAGAGTAACAGGGCGTGGAAGGCCAGATCTTCCTAACAAGATTAGAGCCAAGAGTGATAGTTCAGACAACTATGTGAGAGAAGCTGAAGCAAGCAGTGTGAGTAAGTCCAATGACAGCTGACCTCCCCAGCAGCTTGCTGAGCCCAGCCTCTACTCTCTCCCAGAAGAGCCTCCTTGCAGTCTGGTGTTGTCTCTTATTGCCAGGGGATGAGGAAGACGTGTGGTCTATGGCCAGGGGTTAATTTGTACTGCATTTGCCCCAGCATAGCTGAAAGCAGGAGGGAAACCCTGATGCCTGAGCTCATGGAAAATCTGCCTCAGAAGGATTTGCCTTGTCTTTCTGCCTCCCTGGGTGGAGCTGACAGATGAGAATGAGGGATGTAGGCTTTTGTCATCACCTATCAAAAGCTTAACACTAAGTGCCTACTCCTGCAGGATGATGCTGTTCTGAGGAAAACCCACAGACCCAGTCCTGTCCCTAGGGAGCACCCATTGAAAGAGAAACATGCAGCCACACTTTTATAAAGAACATAAGACAGTAGCACCAACGTTAGAGTAGAAAAGGCAGCCTTCTGTGACATATAGAGTGGTTCAAAAGTATAGAAACTTTCAAAATTTCACTACTTAATAACTAGGCTGTTTATGAACATGCATTATGCACCAAACTGCAGCATTTTCCTATATTTCTCGCATGGTCCAACCACTTTTTGCATAGAACACAGTGACGGGGGTTGCGTCTCTGGACATGATACCTGAGTGGACTTTGTCCACAGCTGCTGGAAGTTTCTGACAGATCCATTTTCAAGCAGGATGGGGCTCTACTTTAGGTCAACCGTGGGGTCCAGAGGCCGCTGAAAGAACACCTTTCGCAGTGCTCGATGAGTGCTCCATTCAAAGCATTGACTTGCCTCTGGAACTGCGATCCCAAATCCCTAAATGTCACTCCATGTGGCTTCTAGTGGGGATAAGTCAAGAACCTCATATTTGGCCAGGCCAGCATGGCTAAGCGATTGACCAGGAGATCATAGTTTGGTTCATGGTTAGGGCACATGCCCAGCTGTGGGGTCAACCCCCAGGAGGGGGCCTGCAGGAGGCAGTTCCTATATCTCTCTTCCTTTCCCTTCATCTCTCTGAATCAATAAAAACATTAAAAAAAAAACCAAAAACCTCATATTTTCCCCACCTGGTCCTCATGGACTGGAGGAGATGTGGGAAGCATTGTGGTTGCCATTTCA